GGGAGCAGAAAAGCCCTGTTTGTAAAAGGCTCGTTATCTGAGGCGCAATTAAATAATCAGGAAAAGAGTCATTGAACAGATCCGATGTTTACTGTGCCCACAGCCTGGCAGATCAGAGTATCGCTGCAGGCCTGGCACATCGCCTAAATACTCACAAGAGCCATGGGCCCAAAGTTCAGCAGTCACAGCCTCACCCTATATGGGTGCTGAGGTGTCCACCCAAGGGCCTCTTTGCAGGAGCCATACCCAGTGAGGGGACTGAGGGGAGAGTCACAAAGTCGCCTTTTTGCTGCCAGATGACCGAGAAATGAAAACCCTCCTTGCTCTCTCCATGCCGTCCTGCAAGGAGGGTCCTGCTGTGGAGGCTGCTCGGCTGGAGCTGAGGCGCAGGGCGGGAAGGCGGCGCCGTGGAGGGAGCCCGGCGGGAAGGCGGCAGCTGGCGCGTGGGCGTGCGCCCAGCAGCGCCTCAGCACTCACATGAAAGGAACCAGCTGCGCGCGGGAGCGCCTCAGCGCTGCCTGACGCGAACTAGCCTGGAAGCCGGCGGATCCGGCACGTCCCAGGGCTGCGGGGTCAAGCCCTGGTGGTAAATCAAGGATGGGATCCCACACGTCCTGCTCTTCGAGTGACTGCGCTGACCACCGTGGAGTTTGGCTTGTTGGGAGTGGAGACATCTCAGCGCCAGGGCAGTGCACCCATATTGGGAGCCAGAGTGATGGGACGCAGCTACTTGCTCCTTCATTTAATCTTCCCTAGCTCTCAGATCTTGCTGGAGGGAAAGACCCCCTGCTTTCTCATGCCTACGGGAAGCCTATTCCAAATCCCACCTTAGTCCAACCTGGGGTAGAGACGAGCCCCTCTTGCCTGGGGTGATGCTCAGCAGACCCGACTCCTGCACACACTGGGGCAGGTTTCTCCCTTTCCCAGTCTTCTCCTCTGAAGCTCTTCCACTTTTATTTCTGCCTCAGATAGCACAGGACCACACAACCCCTGGCTCCCTCCTCTCAAGTGTTTCCTCTCACCCCCAGCTAAAGACTCTTCTCCCCTCTGGCTCAAGCTCTCTTTTGACTCTTGTCCTTTGGACCCCCCCCAAAATGAGAGCACCACTGGGAACAGAGGGTTTGGAGCTTTCTATTTGGAGACAGGCATTGGGAGAACTTGCTCCTGGCAAAGCCCGAAATTACCTCCTGCAAAACTATCCACATCAATTGTCACTTCAGGTGCTTTGATATTAGTCTGTTTGGGACAGAACAGACCACACAGCACTGTTCCCCAAGCTCCTGTTCGGGTCTTGCTTATGTTTATAAACACACACAGAGTCTTTATTAGCAGAGTGATGGGTATTGCATTTCTCTTTTGCAACCAGTCGCCTCCTCACGTTGCAATTCCTGTGGGAACCCCAGAGCTGGCTCAGCCAGTTCTACCCGGCACCTTCATCAGAGAGCTAAACACAAGCTTTAGTACAGCTGGGTGCCTTAAACCGAATACAGGCCAGGTGACATGTTTGCACAGTTAGCACCCGAGCAGTTCTCCTCAGAAAGCCCAGGGAGCAGAGCAAGTCTCAGGCAGCACCTTGGTCAGGAACGCAGACTAGAGCGGTAATAGGACTCTGCTTTAAAAACTCCTTTGGTTTCCTTTACAGCCAATGAAGAGAGATAGGCAGGTCCAAAGGCTGAGCTTGTCTGTACTACTCTTTGGAGGTGCCTATCTCATTCACTGGATATAAAGGGAGCTTTGGGCAACTGAACTCACATCATACGTACCAGAAGTTAGGTAGGATGGTCTGAGGCTGCAGCCGGAGGCAGCAGGCTGCAAGGCCACGTGGTGGAGGAGGCCAGGCTTTCACTTCTTAAACTGCTACGCACGCTTGATCCCTGGAATTACCGCTGGCAGCACGCGCTAAATTAATGTCACGCTGCATTCTTGGCAGGGGCAGCGGGACTCCTGCCCAAAGGTGTGCTGGCACACGGCAGGCGCCAGCTCCAGCTGGGACGGGCACAGCCAGGCCCCAGGAAGTGTTTCCAGCTGATGGGTTTCTTGCCCTACATCAAAAGGAGGGTTGGTGTTTTATGACCAATGTTTTTTCAGGGACAGGTTATTTAGATTTCAAAGCCTGTATGAATGCAACCTCGCTGGTTTATAGGTGAGAAGTAGTTTCTTATTTTCCATGTTTTGTTCTAAGGCTTCTCAAGGTACAAAGTATTCCTTGCTATGGTGCAACTGCCCTGGCCTTTTCCTAGCAGGACAGCTTGCTCATCCCCGTAGGGCGCCTTGGATCTTCTCTGTTGAGCTGTCTCCGGCTCAGGGGAATTCCCCATTGGACTAGCCAGGGCTGTGCAGCTGACAAAGCCCAGCCGCCTCCTCCACAAAGCCCCAGCGCTCGGAGCAGATCCCTGGGGAGCAGGGCTGGCCAACCTGCCTGCTGGCTGCCTGTCCTTGAAGGAGGAGCCCAGAGGGACCAAGTGGAGTGTTGCAGCAAAGACCCTCACACCCTGGGGGCAAAACCCCTTGGCACAACCACTGTGGGGTGACAGAGCAGTCGTGGGACTCCAAATTTCAAAGCCAGCAGGGTACACGTGCAGCAAGGACGGAGCGCATGGGCACAGCCCAGGCCACGCATGCAGGGCAGAGACATTCGAGCTGGCTCTCACTCACTGGTCTCCATGCTTTGATTTACAGAGCTGTCAGGGGCCAAGGCCATAACAATAAACTTAATTTTAAATTAAAAAAAAAAAAAGACATAAAAAAACGCCATAAAAATGAAGTCAAAAGGCATACTCTCTGGCAATAACTCATGTATATTTTAAATACTTCTTTTAACTGAAGAGTGGAAAAGAAGCCAAAAAAGCACATAAAACCTTTATACAGTGACTTTTCACCAGCTTTATTTGCAGGTTGGTAGATTTGAGCTCCAAGTTCTCTTGTGCTTGTGCCAAGCTCCAGGTTACTGGGGAAAATATCTATGTATCCCCTCAAAAGCTGTTTATTTAGGTCTGGGCAATTCAAAACCTGTACACAGAGGAAAAAGGGAGGAGAGGAAGGTAACAGCTGTGTATTTTTGGAGACCAGCTTCTATTCGGTTGCTGAGAATCAACTTTCACCTCAAAATATTCCCTATTCCTATTCCCAGAAGTGTGGCTGGCATTGAGGTTTAATATTCAGACACATCTGCTACCAGAGAAAATTAATTTTCAGCTCTAGGATGGCTCTTAAGGGGAGGCCTCATTGACCTGAGCTGAAAATGATGGAGTCCTCACACTCTTTGCTGCAATATTTAATAGCTGAGTGGCAGTTAATTAGATTACTGAGCCACTGTGACAGATGCTAGGCAACGCCCGAGAGGGAGAATTTGGAAAGGCCATTATCTTCCAGTGCTGGAAAGGCTCAGAGAAATCAGAGAAATTAACCCTTTCAACCCTTACTGCATCCTCTCTGTGAGCCAGCCCATGTCAAACCCAAGCATTTCTCAAATTGAAGACCAGCATAATGCTTAGGGTGCTTTGTAGCCTCCCACCAAGTGCCTGAAAAAAGCAGGTGATCACATTGGGCAAATGCTAAGTAGATGTGCCAGGAGAGCCTCATCTGTTCCCAGCCTGCATCAGAGAAGATCATCACTGGGAAATGCCAGGGCACTGCAGTAATTTCAGCCCACTGAGTTATTCCCAGGCACCCCAACTCTTCTTCCTTATATTAAGTGAAGTGGATTTTAGTGAAGATAAGGAAAAAGAACTCTCCTCACGGTCTCACCTCCCAGATAAACCCTAAGTGAAGCTTGTCTACCTTGCCCCCATATGCCAGGGCTTCCAGGCTCCTTCAGCTAGTTGGCAGTTAGCCTCTAACCATCAAAGCAGGGCTGCATGTATTGCCACCACTGTGAAACCTGCAACCAAGTGCTGCAAAGGTGTTAAGGATTTCTTGAAAAGATGGTACTATGCAAGTATCCATATCAATAGCTGTTTTCACAGTGCAAGATGAGATTTCTGCCTTTCCTTGTCCAGCTGCATTTTGGCACAGTTAGGTCAAGATGAGCGAGCCTAAGTGGAGCAAAACCAGTAACCAGATGGGCAGCCAAACATCTCACTGTGGAGGAGAGGGAAGGAACCAGCTACCAGGCCTCCTGTCCTTGTCCTATTGCTCTGCAACACTTTTCCTGAACAAGCGAGAACCAGAGCACCATCATGAGCTCCCACCAACGTTCTTGTTCTCACACACCTTGAAACACATTCTTCTTCTGGTTACCAAACCCCTTCCCTCCCACTCATGTCTCACATAGAAGTCTCAGAAGTTCTGATTTAACAAGCAACTGTTTGGATGCTAAATAAACACCAGGACCATCAAATGCACCATGTCTTCTAAGCCTCTGCTTCTGCTACCCACTACCCATCTTATCCACTAAGATGTAAATACAGAGCTTAAAAAGAGATTCTCCAGTCTCCCAAGGGTTACTTGCCTACATGCTCATCAGCATCCAACTGATCATACCAATACCCAGGAAAAATAACAAAGTATTGAGAATTTTTTTCAAAGCACTTGCTGCTGAAGTATCTTCCAGATCTCAATTGTAGATGCATTTAGAAATCTGAAACTGCATCTCCCTCAGCCACGTGGAGACAGGATGTGTTCCAAGGCCATACCCACGTGAGTCGGCACAGACAGATCTGCTCTCCCATACCCACGCACACACAGCAGCTAGCTTAGACAAGGTATTATTATAACATACATAGAAAGATGGAGGCTGGCACATCCAGACAGTTCAGAAGGAGGGCAAAGCAGCTCTGGTCTGCTTGTAACCGGAGCTTGCAATCCATCTGCTTGGAACTTGTAATCCATCTACCCAGCTACAGAGTCAAGGCCCTGTTGAGTTATTGAGGGTATCATCTTGAAATAAGAGAAAGCAAGGAGCAAGCTAGACTAGCATCACAGAACTTTTATTCTTTTCTGGTGCTCCATCCCTCCCACCTTCAAATATACCCTCCTCATAAAGGGTAAGGTAGCTGGAGCCTTGGCTTCAGCGTGGTGGGGAAACGCATTTGAGGCAAGATAAGAAGTTTCAGTTTTAGCAGAAGAGACCCTTACCTTATTGTATTCCTGGGTATTAGCCCCAGAGCCCTAACTCTCATGATGGCAAATGCTTCCAGGTGCTGACAAAAGCTGTGGGGATGAGCGAATAAGGCACCGTTGTGATACAGTTCCACGTGTCTGACGTGGGGTCATAGCAGTCCAGTGTTTTGCACCTCTGAGTCCCAAAATAACCCCCCACCACGTAGAGTTTATTCCCTGAGGCCAAGGCATGGCAGGACATGCGCTTGGCTGTCATATCCCCAATGCGTGTCCACTGGTCCGTTTCGCAGTCGAAGCGGTAGGCGGATGCTGCCGTGAACTCCGTGTCTCCCCCCATGATGAAGATCTGGCTGCCCAGGACAGCAGCCGCCGTGTAGCGCCAGGGCTGCGGGCACTCCGCTTTGATCATCCACCGATTCTCACCTGGATCGTAGCACTGGACTTTGGACACCATGTCCCGGTGAATGCTGGTGCCGCCGAAGACAAAAAGCTTGAGCCGGGCGCTTACCACAGCAGCGTTGCTCACTCCGTCTCTCAGCGGGGCCACCATCATCCACTTGTTGGATGCAGGATCGTACTTCTCTACTTGCTTCAAGGAAACAGAAGGTGATGCTGGAAAGACGCCAGCCACTGCCGTGTGTCCACCAACCACATAGAGGCAGTTCTCCAGTTCAGCCGAACCATGCCCGAACCGAGCTATTAACATTGGGGCAGCTTTTGACCACTCCTCATGAACAGTGTCATACACCCACACATCTTTGGAGACTCCGTTCTCGGAGCCCCTACCTCCCGTGATGTATACTTTACAGCCAATGGCACAGGCACTAAACTCTTTCCGTGGACTTGGCAGGTCTGCCTTGGGGATAATTTCCTTTGCTTTGTGATCCACTTGGTAGATCTTATCACACATGAAGGTCTGCCCTCCCAGGATAAGCAAGGTGTGCCCGGCTTTGCGAGGCCTGGCACAGGGGCTGGTGACCACTCCATCATTCTGGAGAATTTTCTTTTTGCACTGAATAGCTTCATCCAAGACAAGTTTGTTCCTTTCATCAACCATGATCAGGTCCTCACAAGCCAAGGCTTCCTTGAGGCATTCAGAAGGAAGTAAGGCCAGGCGAACGTTCCTCAGAAGCTCTGGGAGATAAGCCTTCCGCTCATCCAGATCATATTTTACCCACTGGATGACAGCTTTGAAGACCTTTTCTTCATCCTCAATTTCCAACTCATCACTGGAGATGAGGTCCAGAAGAGTGTCCTTGGATAGGTTGTTGAAATCCTCACTCTTGTGAACAGTTTCAAAGTTGACCAGGCACATCCTCCAGGAGAGCTCATAGAGCCTCCGGCACTGATGAGCATCCGAGAGCAACATCATGCCCAGGCAGTTGGAAGGATAGAGGTTCTTCTCCAGGAACTCGGCCGCCGCGTCTCGGACATCATGGAACTGCAGCATGTCTCCGGCCTCCAGGAGGGACTCTGCATTTTCCTCGTTAATGATGATCCGAGAGGAGTAAGCAAAGTCCAGCAGCAGTTCGAGCACCTCGGGGTGCAGACTGTCATGGAAATTCACCTCATCATCCAGGCTCTCACGAAGGCCATTGCTAAACATGGCTTCAAAGTACCTGCTGGAGGCCGCCAGCACTGCCCGATGGCAGGGGAAGGACCTGTTCCCTGCCCAGAGGGTGACATCGGTGAACATGCGGTGCTTGCGGAGCGTGTTCAGGTGGGACAAGACGCAGTCCGGGTGGGAAGCTTTGTGGAACAGCAGGATGTTCATGGAGCCGGTGCTAGTCCGGGATTTACGGTTCTCATGGACGCTGACTGACATGATGACAGAGTTATTGCCTGCAGAGAAACAAACAGAAAATACCCGATTATTTTCTTGTCATTACTGAGGTGGGGCAGGGAGCCAGCAGCAGTGGAAAATCCGCACTTGCCCCTCACGTCACAGTCAGCACATCTCAAACACTGGCTGAAGCTGCAGTGCTGGCTGCCCCTGGCGTTGCCACTGCTCCTGCGTCCTGCCTTGCAGAGCCTGTGCCTGCTTCAGGAGAAGCACCTTCAATCCCCCTGATGTTTAACTGAGGCTGAGCAGGGTGGAAACACGGGGAGAGGAAATTCTGCACTTTGATGTCAGCTATGAAGCAACAAGGTGAAGCAATCAGAACCCAAACTTGCTGGTAAATTGTTCCAACAGCCTCTAGAGGGAGAGTTAGTTACTTTTCTTTCAAAAACAGCACTGAGAGAGGGGTCTGCCCAGGATAAAGGGCACCAGTCTGTTCTTGGCTCAGCAGAAATCACGTCTGGTTTCTAAATGCATGAAGACTATTGCAGGCTTAAGAAAGACAAACAATTGTTCCTAATTTTACTTAAGAAATACATAGCTACTAGCACAAGCCAAAGGATTTACATTGTAATTTCGATTGATAAATCTCATCAGACACTTCATTGACAGTCACTTTGCAGTACACACTGTCATCAGAGAATAAGACAAAAGAATTAACTCACACTTTTTAAACGTGCAGGAAGAAGCAAATATAATGTTTTTATTAATTCCTATTTCATTTAAGCATGGCCTCATACCTATTCATGCCTGTGGAGCAGAAAGCCTTTAAACCAGTCAAATTAGCAGAATTTAGATGATAGCATCTAAGTCACTTGCTGTAAAATAGTTTAGCCAGCCCAGCCTTAGTTACGCAGGGAAAAAAAGTAGGTCCATGGACATGCAAACAGCCCTCTCACACTCTAGAAAGCCAGTACTAAAGTGGAGAAATTGGTAACACAATTGCCCTGAATTTTGAAAAATGAGCCTTCCAAAGGCAGGGGCCTGGAAAGAGCTGGAGATGTCAATGAGGAGTGTGATTTTTCACAGTAAAACACACGAAAGTGCGTGCAGAAAAAAGCCCTTACCTCCGTGGGAAACGGTGCCAGCGTCCCGGTGCCAGTGCCCCCCACGGTCACCTTGTGCCAGGGGTCGGCCCGCGGAGCCGCCGCGGAGGGACCCGGTGAGGGCGAACGGGCAGAGCCGCTCTGCTGGGGCAGGCACTGCACGAGCAGCACCAACGCTGGGGAAAGGCAGCCCCATTTACAGGAAAAGAAATAAAAAAGACACTGCTTGAGAAACAGCATCCGGCTGGGCTGGACCTCCCCTCTCTCACCCAACACTGCTTGCCCTTCTTCCCTTCTCTAATGCTCTTTTTCTCCCCTTCTCTTCCCTATTTGCCTTCCCCCCAAAACAAAACACCTCAGTTCTGCTTTTGAGGCACAGGGCAGTCCTCCCTCCTCCCCATGCTGTCCCACTCCATGGGTCAGAGCTCCAGCCACGTAATCCCTTAGAAATCATTAATTAACAAAACAGATACAGCTGGGGAAGTTTGTTTATTTTAAATTTACTCTTTGCAGCCTGATTTTTTCTTTCAGGACCTTTCCCCCTTGCCCCGGGGTTTTCCTGCGTGCACAGGGTCACGGCTCGGCCCCGTCCTTGCCTCATCTCCTCCGGGAAGGCCGGGATCACGCGGATCCCCCCAGCTCAGCCACTGGGGCCCAGAGGAAAAACACTCATCTAGGAGGTTATATGAATTCAATATGTGTCAAAGCTCCATAGTGCTGAACTGAGGAATACAAATTAAACATTTATGAGTCTGCTAAAAGCTATTGATTTGGGTTCCGGTGCCTGCAACCTCAGAAACCACCCTGCCAGGGCAATTGCTTTCTTTGCTCACAGCTCCGGTCAGGTATCGGCCGTTAACCTTTGATTTGCTTATCCACAGAAAATTAAGCAACTTATATAGGAGAGCTAGGGAAACAAACAAAAGATTACAGGAAGGCAGCATCGTTTTTTTTTTTCCTCAAGACTAAGAATAGAAAAGCCGCTACTCAGAAAGGCAAGGGCAGGTCATTTAGAAATAAGAAATGCCTCTATAAAAGCTGCAGCAGAGCTGCTGTGATTATTAAAAATAAATAAACAAATAAAATCAAGCCTATCATGGATTATGGATCCCACAGGCTGAGCACACCGATCAACTGAAACTACTTAGGCAGCCTCTCAAGTTGGGTGCGTGGCCATCTCATTGGCAAGGCTTGCCCTGCATTTTTTGATAATTCCCAAACAGCTTGTTTGGAGGGCAAACAGTGCAATGTGCCTACTTGGAGTCCTGCTGGAGCTGGGCACGAGCAGGGAAATAGCAGGGCTTCATTCTTCCCTCCACCCACACCCCCCTGCATCTCACAATCTACCAGAGACTTTGGCATCATCCCACACATATCGGATGAACAGAAACTGCAGGCAGCAGCTATTTTATCTGATGGGTTTCTTGCACAATCAGTAGCCTTCTGCACTCCAGAATCCTGAAACCGAAAGGATCTTTACATACTGGGCAAAAACGCATGCTTAAATTTAAGCAATATTTAACTGCAGTGACGAATAGGGCTGGACACCTGGCACGTTCTCTTAGGCACTTTGCACGTAGGACAGAATTTGGCCTCTGCCACATTCCTGTTTTCTCCTACTCAGCTACTGAACAGAAGCTAAAAACCAGAATCACGCAGGAGGAAGGATATTTTGCACAGAGAAACCCATCAGTGTCTCCTTCCCAGCTCCCACCTTCTCCACAAGAGCCTGGGGGTTATCTGAGCTCGCTGCTGCATCTGCCATCCCGCAGGAAGCGATCCCGAGAACCGGCGCGCCGATGCGAACAGCACAAGGCAAGACCTGAACAAACTGGGTCTTGGATTTCTCTATGATGTAGTCTTTTTTTTCTTTTTTCTCTGAAAGGCAGTTGTTAAAAAAAATATAATGTCGACTGCATAGCCTTTTAGAGGATCTTATTGCACGCAGAGGCAGATGATAACTCTTATTCCATATGGATGAGGGCATAGGGTATCAGCTTTTTGACATCTAGCCAATGTTTTCTGCTAGCTATAATATTCTGCAGGCTCCCTGCAGCCCTTATAGAGCAGATCTAGGAAATACAGGATTTTTTCCAGCATGGTAAGATAAGGAAGCTTTGGAAAATCCTTCCACTCACCCACACATGGAAGACAGCAACCTGGGAGGAGGGTAAACATGGCAGAAGAGACCCCTCTGATCTCAGCTTATAAACAAAATGCCTCAGCTAGCTCCGGACAGGACAAAGCTGGCAAAGAGAACAAGGGGAGAAAGCAAAACCACAGAGTTGGCCAAATTCCCTACTCAAACAACGGCCACAGTTCTCCTGTTTGAACCATTACCTAGAAGAAGGCTGTCTCTCATGGGCCTGCAGGTTGCTCTCTCATAAGCTCCGCTTTAGGCAGTGGGGACAGATCATATTAGAATATCCCCTGGGGTTCTCTCTCTCTCATAAAATCCAAGCTGAGCTCCGCTTTAGGCAGTGGGGACAGATAATATTAGAATATTCCCTGGGGTTCTTCTCTCTCTCTCATAAAATCCAAGCTACCCTTAGAAACCCCAAAGTCAAGTCTCCAGTCACAAAAAAACTGCATGAGAGGAGGGCTTAGGAGCACTGTAGTGTATGAACTGTTTGCTTACATGGGGTCGTTTCCCTCTCCCACCCTGCCCTTAAACCAGCAGACTATCCGTGATCCTGCAGCAGGGAATTCCCGGCTGGACTGGCCAAGCTCTCCACTTCCTGAGGTGACTTCTCCACAGCTTCCCCAGATGGGCTGTACAGTTGGCCCAACAACTTGCACGGTGCCACATCTGTTCCCAGAACAGCTGAGGCACTGCTTAATTTTAAGAGGACAATACCTGAGAGTAATTACCACATTCCCTAATGAGACTTTGGGGTTCGAGACTCACTTCTACTTAGAAGTGCAAAACTACAGAATTAAGCAGCATTCTCCCAAGACCATAATATTTGTCTGAGCACCAACAAAGAGCCCAAAGCCCATGAGCTGAATCTGGTACTCGTCGTTTGCCATGAGAAGCAGCAAACAAAACAGTTTCTTTCTGTCTCGCTCAACCTAGAATTATTAAAGCACATAAATAAGCTGTAAGGTTTGCCACTGGCTTAATTTACACGTCCTAGAAGAAACTGCTCACGCAGGAGCGCAGGCTGCAAAGGCACCGTCCTCCCAAGACTCCAGTTCTTCTGGCTGGTGTGATTTATGCACAGGATGTTGCGTGCTCTCTGCTAGGGCTTTATTAGAATTTAAATGCTAATCATGTGATTTGAAGATCAAAAGCTTTGGGCCCAGGAGAGCTCTCATCTTATACTTTCTTTGATTTATTCCAATTCATTTTGGCTGTTTCTGTTTTCCTTGCCACGTGGGACCTAGCTGATGCTCTGAATTCGCAGTCTGCAGAGGAGCAAGGACAACAGCCACCACCTATCCACACGTACCAGGCTGGGATAGGACAAACAGCACCATTGCATGAGGAGCCCTTAAGTACCTCTGCTGGTCCGGGCCTTATTCTTTCATCCATCCCTGTGACCTTGCAGACCTGGGGAGCATTCAGGGGACATTTGCCTGCCTGCATACAAACGCAATCAATCAACACGTCCACATGAACCAGAGCAGCACAAGCTCCTAACGAGCCGAAGGCAACTTCTGCGCAGCCACAGGAACGGCAGCTCCAACCCTGCCCCAGAGGCAGCAAGGGGGAGAGCAGCACAAGGAACAAGGACACGTGGGCCACATTGCACAGCCCCTCTGCGGACGTGCGGCCCGCGACCCGCAGCCGCCCAGCCCGGACAGCCACGGCAGACCGGCCTCGAGCCGGGTGTGAGACTCATTTCCCTTCCTCTCTGGTTTCACAATACCGGCGCTTTAGGGCGAAATGCAGCCCTGGATGCAGACAAAGTTCAGCTTCTCCCTGGGAGCAGGGGGATAAATTTGCTGCCCGTTTAGTCACTCCTTACTCGCTCATCCCAAATATCTGTGCTTTCCCACGCCTTCATGTGTCTCCAGCGCCTGGTGCTTGGGCCAGCCATGCCATTCCAGGACAAAAATCACTCCTATAGAGCAGCCAATTCCCCTTCTCACCATGCAGCGCAGCAATCTAGGGAGCTGAAAAGTCCCCCACTACTGCATTTTGGCAGGGAGGAGTTTCCCTGTGAAGATGTTCAGGAGACAGCGGAGCCACAACGCGCTGCCCAACTCGCATCAGGCAAAGCCGCGTTCCGGAGATACGGAAAGCGCGTCCTCAAGGGGAGGTCAGCAGAGCTTGATGGATGCCAGACAGGTGTCACCTACTCGAACACACAACTCGAGCTTCAAAAGGGGAACAAAACAGCAGAAAGCAGAGATGGTGAGGAAGGGAGACAGAAAATAAGTGGAACCAAGTAGGTTCTCAGCTCCTCTTGGTGCCCCTGCACAGGCAGGGCAGCACGTGGGCTCCCAGCCCCAGCTCAGAGGGACCTGTCAGAAAAGCCCAGCACTAAAAATGCCTTTTTCCAAAGAGTGCCCAAGATGAAAGAAATAAATATAGCACTTGGCACCGAGCATAACACTTGGCAGCAGCCAAGTGGGCAGCAAAGAACCTTCCTTACACCTCCCTTGGGCACACGTGCTGCCCTGGGCTTGATTTGGTTTAGGTGCAGGCTCTGCTCTCCAAAGAAAAGGGGTATTTTCCAGCAGCAATGCAAGCTCAGCAATTTGTCCATATCGTGCAGCTCCATACCTCTGCTCAACAGGATGACTAATGCACTGGAAATGCAGCCGTGAGTTTTCACCCTGCAATGCACCCTGTAATTCTGCCTTGAATCAGCAGGTACGTCTGGAACACAGCTGGATTTGGTCTTCCCGACAAACTGCCCTTTCATTAGATCTGCAAACAGGCAAGCAAAGGAAAGGGAGTTCAATGCCCCAGCCCCGGATCTGCGATGCTGTCCCAACTTTTGGGGTAGGAGGCCTTCCATTACTGCTTCTTCTCCCCTTTTTTTCTAGTCCATCCTATCCTTCCTACACCAAAAACAGAGAGACCTTGTGAAAGGCTGCTCTGTTGGCTCAGACAGAAACTGGAAGGTTTTCCAAGCCCAATTCCGTAGGCTCCAGGATATCAGATTGTCTGGAGAAGGTCCGGGCACGTACCTGATCTTCAGGGTGCTTACTCAAGCAAATCTGACCTCAGAAACTTGGTCTGCCCCTCACTATTTCATATTCTGGTCTCAGCAGTGCCCCTGGAGCCCCGTGCCCCACTCTGAGCCCAAAGGCACCGCAAGAATCCACTGAATGCCCCTTACAATAAAAATCAAAAGCAGCGTTTCAAGCTATACCAAAGAGCTAGTTTCTTGTTCCATCTGGCAAAAGCACTGGCAAAAGGGGCAACAGTGACTTAAATCTATAACGAACGGAACTAATCTGAGCCAAAGGAGGCTGCTTTCCAGCCAAAATAAAAGTATCTGTAGGAAATTTGCTTTGCATGTAACAGATGCAGTTATTTGTCAAGCAGACACCGGACTTGTTGCTCTGCAGCTGAATGACTCCATCAAGCTTCTTAAGCTACCTGCAAGGCAATCAAATAAAGTTCACGCTCACCCCTAAGCACGTGGGCTTTGCAGCTCCTGGGAACAACACACCCTCCCGCCACTACCCGGGCCCGGATAAATAGCGCTTTTAGCCGCAGCTCGGCTCCAGACAAGAGCTTTTCATTACTACGCCTTAGCCCCAGTGGATCTTTTCAGAGCCCGTGATTCATTTCAGCGGCTGCTGCAGGGTTTTGTGCCCCGGGCCTGCCCTCCAGCTCGCTGGTGAATAAATTCCATTCTGCCAGATCAATCACAGCGGGTCTGCAAAATGAATGCAGGACTGCAGAGGGGCCAGCGAGTTTTCTGTCCCCCCGTCTCCCAGATTATACTCAAGAAGGCTGTGGAATAGAAACCATCTACTTGATCACAATATCTACCTCAACCCCATCTGGGCAGGATAAAGTCCCTTTCAAGCGAGCCAGGGTGAAAATATGCTGTAAAGGAGAAAGGGCTTCAGTACTTCAAATACAGAGAAGCAGAACCACATGCCACTTCCCAGAGAGTTTACAGGCTATGTGGCATATCACATTAATGCCAGAATAACCGCTGCTGTTGCTGACTGCAGAGAACCTGCTCAGATCCTCCCACTCTGTGCTCTGCGCCCAGCATGGAGGTGCAAAGGGGAGAGCTTGGTGCTCAGACCCTGCTACCCGCGCTCACACCAAACAGGTCTGTCTCCTACCACCAGGACAAGATGCAAACACTGGGCCTGGCCACTTAACCTGGTTTGGTTCCGTTGCTCCTCTGCCAGGCAGGAGGTCTTGGTGCAGGCTCAGCAAGCTGGCTCGCTCCAAAGGGACTTCATCCTGCCCAGGTGGGGTTGGGGTAGCAGCAACCCAGGTGCTTGCAGGTTACCGGATCACAGCAGCAGCCCCGCAGCAGCCCAGGCTACCTGGGCACCCCTGCAATCCTCACAAGCAAACCAGAGCAAGCTCCAGCACAAAACTGGCCTCACCACAATCCTGCAGACTTTGCAAAACGTAATGGTCAGTAAGCAGACAGTGGCTATGGGATATGGAACATTCCCAGGCTTGGATGGGGTCGGGAGGGGAGACAGAGCAGCCTTTAATGGCAGGAGTGATGCTAAGAGACACCGAGGGGCTATAAAGCTGTTCAGCAAAGACAGACTGATGCGATGGTGGTTACAGGCCATGCCGGGGGCTGGGGGGCTCGTTACAGCTAAGCGCTTTTAGGCAGCTCTCCAGCAGCCGCTGCTTCGAGCCGGGCCGGCCACGCGCGCTCCAGTCTGTGGAAGGCGGGAGTAAATCTGTGTCTGAGGACAAGGGCTGACATCACCTCCCCAAACCGCCTCCGAGGCCGGCAGGGCGCCGGCGCCTGGCACGGACCCCGGAGCCCTCTGTGCTCATCCCGCTCCATCCACCTCCTGCCGCCCGGCACCCGCCTCCCTTGGGCTCTTCCCTCCGCTCCTCCAGCTCCACCAACACCCTGCCCGTCCTGCTCCACTCACGTAGCTCATCCATCCGCACCTCTGCAGCTTCCTGCGGCCGCTCCGGAGCGCTTGGAAACCTGCAGCCTTTGGGCAGCAATGGTCACCACTACAGGGACACGGATGGTATCATCACTCGCCTGTATGTATAGATACACACACACACTCTTTT